AAAAAAAAAAAAAAAAACGAACTCTACTAAATTCCAAATCGAAATGGGAGAAACTCGAATGAAATGTGTGAAGCATGTGCTATAAGTGTAATTGGATGAAGGAGGGCGAAAGTTAGAAAACAATAATAAACTAACAATAGCTTTATTGTCCGATGCAAATGGTAAACATCAGCATTTGCATATTGCCAGATTTTATAGAATTTAACACGTTCTCCTTCAGAATGGATTCTTGGTACTGTAAGGACGGTACGGATGTGCTAATAACAGCTTTGAGAACTACCAGAAGCTTCATTTTTCTATATATACAAAAACGTTCGCCAGGTTCAATTAGAATTGTTTTTGAATTGTGACGCAGGGCCTCAAAGTGACGTAATTTCGTCTCAAAGATAATAGTTTTACAACAGAAATAAAACGGTAATACAATCGGGTGGCGTTTGAAAATGACAAATTGATTTGTCATTCTGCTGCAGAAGACGGTATGCAGATATTTAAAAACTGATGGTGAAATTTTTATTCGTTGAATGCTGTGCTTTACGGATGCACTTTTTCAGACGAGATAAACGGATTGAGTTTTAACTACTATAAAATAAAATTTTTAATCACTGGTTACCGGTCCAAATTACGTCTTTGTTCTCATACTCTTATCTGTTCATGTGCTTTTTATTCAGCATAGGTTTTCGGTAAGCCATTCTGTCTCTTTGTGGCAGAATCTGTTGAGGTGTTACCAAAATTTACTCAAAAGAACGCTAAGGTTCATCTTACCGCCCTTAACATACTACTTCTTATATCAGCAAGCCAGTTTCCATCCCGACTTTTCCAAATTTTCTCTATACATCGTTTCATTTATTCTGACCGGTGTTTTTGTTCCGCCTCTTTTTTATAACCTTTTCTATAGTTTCAAGCTTGCAAAAATAAGAAGTTGTATTCTGAACTGCTGACAGAGGAATCTTGTTGTTGGCTGATATCTTAATTAACCATATTTCCTTCACAGTTTAGCCAACGGCAATATTTCGGACTTCACTGTTTATGCTTTTCGTTATTCATCTATATCGGATTCCGTAAATTAAGGAAATTCTGGTAAATCAAAAAGGAGATAAAACTTTTCACACAGTAAATCTTTATAAAAAAACCAGCACTTTTTTTTTTCAGAATAACCTACCTACTTTACGCTGTGACAGATACGCCACAACTTTCGAGCAAAGAAACCGAAAAAAAAATGACAGGACTGAGTTCAACCTAAAAAATCTACAACACTATTTCAAATGTATTCAAAAACAAACACATTTGGACGACTTTTTTTTTTCAAAAGGTTTAACGCATTTTTTTCGACATGTGAAAGAAATGATAGATGCAGCAGGGAAAAACTGCCAACAGCGCTTATTTAGTGATGTCAGCAAGCAGCAAACAATGAAACTAACGCTTAATACAAGCGTTTCCGGTCCAGCGTTTCATTATCATACTTGTCCACTGTATGCTGTTTACAGGTAGCCGAACGTCACATCGTGCTGTCGTCATCAGTCGCTGATGCTTCATTGATGACTGACTGAAGCCGATAGATATTTCAGCTGCTTTGGAAGGCTGCCAATGTTGAGGTCCTTTGAATTTCGTATCGCAATTTTTGCCATTTCTTGTTTAGAGACAGGCTTCCAATGGCAAAGCGGCCTAAAAGTAGCGCTGTGGTTGACGCAGAGGGAATGGATGGCTGTGTTTGGTGGTGACGACGATGTGACTAATCAATAGCGTTCACTTGGAGGAGGTGTCTGAGTCAGTATTATGCAATTTTACACCAGTAAATGCTTCTCGAGGTTTTTTCATCTAATCTAGTTTCGGAGAGACCAGCATTTGCTGTTGATGGCACTGTGCGTAGGTGAATCCTTTTAGTGTTTTGCGAGAATATAATTACTAGATTTTTCTTTTGCTGCATTAAATGTGCTGTTGATAAGGTTTACTGGTTGACCTGAAAACCAAGCGGGGTTTTTTTGGCAGTCATTTATTTTATTGGCTTTAGCAATCACTCGCTTTGAAGTGAAAAAAGTTCTTGGTATAGACCTAATCTTTTTGTTGGAAGAGTTTGTTAATCAACTAATGTTTGTTATTCTTTTGGTTCGTTTGTTGCATTTGAGTGCAATTGTCTCGTCATCTATTTACGACTTGACTGACACATTTAAAAATACAATTTTTACCAGTTGTTTTTTTTTTTCTTCAATTGCGGTAATTACTGTTGTGTCGTCGTAATGATTTGTTTTAAGTTCTGTCAGTCTATGGGTATTCAAGTTTACCTAGCTTTTTTTAAATTCATTAGACTTAATTTGCATGTCTCATCAATGGTTCTGTTTATATGCTTCTTGTATATTTCAAAAAAATATTTAACTTGTGCTGTTTAAAAGAGGTGAAAGATCTTTCTTTTCTCATTTTGTTTTTATCCATCAGTTAACTGTTCTGTTGCTTGCCTAATGGTTTTCGCTTACTGCTTGTTTGCGGATGTAGGGACTATTTTGTTCAGCGCATAAACAGATGGCCAAAAATCGGTGACAGGCGGCCCATGGCATATGAACAGGACTCGTATGGTTCGCTTCAATTTTTTAGCAACTTTTTAGTCGATACTATGGTTTCTTTAAACGGCCAACGTTATTGTTAAGTCTAAAGTGCATATAAAGCTGCATTTCTGTTGTGCAGACATTTGTTTGTACAATTGAGTTTATGAAAGCTTTTATATGAGGTAAAATTTGTTTTTAATTTTGTGCTTTTTTTTCTAGACAATACTTCATCTTGCCGTTCCATTCAACTGCTTTTGATTTATTGTTCTGGAATTATTAGTTCAGTTTAATAGTTGAATTAGAAGTACGGCAATAAAAATAGGATTTTTAAAATTTTCCCCTTTTCCTTTCTTTTCTTTTTCTTTGTTCTTATTCTTGTATGTTATTTCTTATTTTGTTGCCACTACATGATTTAAGAATGCTCCTGTGATATACATAAAATGATGAGATTGTTGTCATACAATGGTTACAATCAGTTTTTCATTGTATTTTATGGATGATATTATTCCCTACTATTTTACAAAAATTCAAACTACATTTTCACTGTTCGACGTTAACAGTAATTTTCTTTTTTTTTTTGAAAAAATTTTTTTTTGCAAGCGTTGTTCTTGCAGCCTGGGTTTCTACGCAACCATTCAGCTTCAAACTTTGCGTAAATACGCGCTTCAATTTCCACGACTTTGGCATTACCATTTCTTTTGTTCCAATAAATACTACTTAGGTCAGAAAATCATGGTAGAGGCGGCAGTTGCTGCAGGAGGTGATCAAAAGAATGAAAAAGTGAAACCGAATAAAATGGTAAGACGTCTGGTAGACTGATTGCCATTTGCATTATAAGTTCATTTGACTTGGGCATTGATTTTCAAACAAAGGGCAACTTATATCATTCACTTATTTTAGATAAGGATTTGTTTTTGGGTTTTATTGTTAGCCTTTGGTCGTATTATCAAAATACTCTTTTGTAAGGGAAGTTAATAATTTAGAAAATTTCTAAAGCTTCGGTAGAGATGTCACCATGGGCAGACTTCATTGAGGAACGCTTAGCTCTGTTCGACAAATTGATGGAAAGATACAAGGCAGAACTAGCTGCCAAGGTAGTTTCCTTCATACTTGTTGTGCGACATTAATGCATTTTCTTTTCCTAATTTTCTTTACATTTATTCTTCATTAAGGAACATAAACCTATCAAAATTACTCTTCCTGATGGCAAAGAAGTAAGCGGGGAGGCGTGGAAGACTACTCCCTTTGAGGTTGCAGAGTCGATTAGTCGGGGTTTGGCAGACACAGCAATCGTCGCGAAAGTTAATGGGAAGGTGGCTCTTGAGCTATTTATTCGCCACTACCAATTTGTTTTAATGAGACCTACTTTTACTTGAAATTAAATGAAACTGCTTCTTTGTTTTCTAAAATTACCATGTTTTAAGGTTTGGGACCTTGATCGCCCATTTGAAGAAGATGCAAAATTAGAGATTCTAAAGTTTGATGACGAGGAGGCGAAGCAGGTAACACATTCATTTTTTGTTGATAGTAGCTATATAATTTCATTCTTAATTTTAAAGTACCATTTTCTGCACTACGGGAAAGCCGTCTTACGTGGTTCCCGTTTTCTGGCTTTTCCGTTCAGATTGTGCTATAGCATATTACTCAAATTTTTGGGCTAAAAAGGGCCGCATCAAAGCGAATGATTTATTTTTTGTGGTAGTTTAATAGCCGCACATCTATAGTGATAATCTATATATTTTCTTGCAAGTCCTCATTTTCTGCTTAGAAAGCCTGTACTTTGAGGTGTTTTGGCACAGTTCGGCTCATGTACTCGGGCAGGCTATGGAAAGATATTGCGGTGCTCATTTATGCTATGGACCTCCCCTCACAGAAGGATTTTACTATGACATGTATAAAGAGGTGAAGTCTAACTTTATTCTTTAATCTCTATACGTTATGTATCCTGTATCTTTCCAGGGTGGCAGTATTACTCCGGACGACTTTCCAAAGCTTGAAGAGATTGTGAAATGTGCAGTAAAGGTTCATAAATTCTCTTTCATGGGGCTTTGCCTAATAAAACGTTTTTCATTTTTTCACTTTTACTTTTGTGTTTTAAGGACAAACAACCGTTTGTACGACTTGAGGTGACCAAAGAGGAACTTCTTGAACTTTTCAAATACAACAAGTTTAAGGTTATCAGTTTTTGGTTCTGCCTATTTATTCTCTCATGAAGTTGAAATCACTGTTACTCGCTTGCTAATATAAATTCCTGCAACTAAGTGATAATTTGTAGCTGCGCATCATTAACGAGAAAGTTAAGACCCCGAGAACTACAATCTATAGATGTGGAACGCTGATTGATTTGTGTCGAGGACCTCACTTGAGGCACACCGGGAAAGTTAAGGTCATTACGTAAGCTCTCTGTTTTGAAGCAAAAAAAAATTTCTTTTAGTGTTCTTCATGGCTGTAATATTGAATTTCAGGCACTTGCAGTAACAAAGACATCTAGTTCGTACTGGGAAGGTAATGCAGAGGCGGAGTCGCTAACACGGCTTTATGGTATAGCCTTTCCCGACCCGAAGCAGTTGAAGGAGTGGCAAAGGATTCAGGTCTACTTTTGTACTCGAAAGGAAGATTTACACTTTGCGCCAGTTTTCACCCTAACTCGAAAGTGTTTTAAGAAAGGGTCCAGCAAGGCGCTAAATCAGTTACACTTGATACTTTCCTTTGCTACTATAGCTTTAGAAGGGATCATATCTTGCACATTATTGATTCTACAATTTTCTTGAGGATCATACTTTGTTACTTGAACTTTCTTTTGTTTACCCATGCGTTTCCTAAAAAACATTTTATACACTTAAGGAGACGGGGAATATTTTTTAAGGAAGAGGCTGCAAAGCGCGACCATCGAAGACTGGGAAGAGACCAAGAATTGTTTTTCTTCCATCCTTTGAGCCCTGGTTCAGCATTTTGGTTCCCTAAGGGAGCACATATTTACAATACTCTCTGCAATTTTATCAGAAAAGAGTATCGGAAGCGTGGTTTCACTGAGGTTTGTTTTTATAGGCGTTTGAGAAATTACTCTTGTTTGTATCAGGTCACTTAACTTAATGATTGTTTTATCAGTGCTTGCTGTTCTTTTTGCATAAGTTACGGTATGAGTAGTGATTTTTTCGTTATTTCTAATAAATGTACTGCAAGCTTTGTATTTAAGGTCATAAGTCCAAATATGTTTAATAGCAAACTTTGGGAGATATCTGGACATTGGGAACACTATTCAGACAATCTTTTCAAGTAACTTAGCGTTAAATTTTTTTTTAAAGTTGAGCCTCCATCTTGCATTTCAATATAAACTGCGTCTGCTTTGCAGGATCGAAATTGAAAAAGAATTGTTTGGGTTGAAGCCGATGAATTGCCCAGGGCACTGTTTAATGTATTTACAAATGCCGCGTACGCATAATGAACTTCCCATTCGTTACGCAGACTTTGGTGTGCTGCACAGGTACTGTTTGTCGTCTTTATAATAGTACACAAGCATGGAGGAGAAACACTGTGTTTGTTTTTTTTTCTTTCAGAAATGAAATCAGTGGCGCTTTAACTGGGCTGACTCGCGTACGTCGGTTCCAACAAGATGATGCTCACATATTCTGTCGTCCAGACCAGATCCGCCAAGAGATTATGGTTTCGAATTCTTGTGCTTCTTTTTACAGTGTTACAGATTTTTACATTTCTGGTTCTACTGCTCCAACAAGCTTTTTAAACATTAAATTCAGAACACTTGGTTTTAGGGTTGCATTGACTTCCTAAAATATGCATACGTAGACGTCTTCGGGTTTTCTTTCAAGCTGGTTTTGAGCACACGTCCTGAAGAGGGGTACTTGGGAGAAATTGCGACTTGGTAGTAAACTTTTTCTGTTTATTGTCGGTTTCAGATTTTTAAAATTTTCTTATAATGGAACCAGCCTAAATATGCCTCCTAATGCTTAAATTGATTTCCAAATATTGCTTAAAAAGCAGAGAACGGGCATAACACGCAATATTACTTAGGGAGCATGCTGAGGACGAATTACGAAAGGCTTTGGATGAATGTGGTCATCCTTGGGAACTCAATCCTGGAGATGGCGCTTTTTACGGACCCAAGGTTTTCTAGCATTTGCTTGTTGAACTGTTTTTGACACAGCTATCAGTTCCAACTTGTTTTAGGAGGCACAAAATTAGACTAGTTATAGGAATATACTTTTCATTTTCATTAAAGCGTTTCATTTAGATTGATATTTCTATTCAAGATGCGCTGCGCCGTTATCATCAATGTGCAACAATTCAGTTAGATTTCCAACTGCCTCAGCGCTTTGATTTAATATACTTCGAGTAAGTAGAGTACTGAGCTTTCTGACCCCAAGACTTGAGGTTTCATCAAAGCACTTTTGAAATAACCACGTTTTTTTCAAAAATAACGATTTCACTGGTCGCGAAGTTGTTTATACAAGGAGATGTTAGGAATTTTCTTGTATTTTTCTGAGATTTGCATCCTAGTGTGTTCATTTGTGTTATAGCGAGAAGCATGAGAAGAGGCGTCCGGTTATGGTTCACAGAGCCCTTCTTGGATCAATTGAAAGAATGACTGCTATTCTCACTGAGAATTATGGTGGGAAATGGCCTTTTTGGCTTTCTCCTAGACAGGTACGTAGTTCAACTTTGATACAGTTAAACGCAGATTTAGCATTTATAAAAATCTCAATTTTGAGAGTATTTTAGGCCAGAGTGATAGCAGTACATGAGTCTCAAGATGAGTACGCAAGGTCAGTACAGAAAAAGGTATTTATTCAAAGAAATGTTAAAAATGAAGCTAGCTGTTTTTTTTTTACAGATAAACCCATTTGATCTTCTAGAAGAGTAGTCTTGAATGTAGTGAACTTAATCTATTATGCAAGTAATCTTTTTTTTTTTGGCCTACTGAGTTACTGAGTTTAATTTCTTTTATGTTTTGAGATATACGAGGCAGGATTCGAAGTGGAATACGACAATGATAATTCGGATACTCTGAATAGGAAGATTAGAAATGCTCAGCTGGCGCAGTTTAATTTTATACTCGTCGTTGGTCCAAAAGAAGCCCAGAATGGGACCGTAAATGTGCGCACACGAGATAACGCGGTACATTTAGTTCTTCGACTGGTAGAATTGTTTCTTATGAAACGCGTATGATGACTGAGATGTAAACAAAGTTAAAGCAAATTTTGCAGCTTATTACTTTCAGGTCCGAGGTGAAGTGAAAGTAGAAGAGCTAATCGAGAAATTTAGACGATTCCGGGATGAATATGTAAAGGACACAGAGAATGCTAGTGAATTTTAAGTTCTGATAGCCGCCATGATATTCTGTACTATATCTCTTACAACTGTCCCTGGTGGAGCTGGGAAACTAAGGTTAACCAACTGTCCAAGCAGCAACTTCCGCCTCTTATCTCCAGAAGGTGCCACATGGTGGCAACGACCCTTTAACCAAAGTTCTAAAATTGGAAAGCAATTCTTCTTTCTTTAAGCTCCGATAAGTGAGGTGATGGGGTTTGTTATTCTTTTCTGTAGTTGCATTGAAGTTGCCGATTTGTTATTTTAGTTACAAGCGGAGGTGGTATTTAACTTATTAATTTCTAATTCCGTCCAATTGTTTGTCATTACAGTACCAGAAAATTGACACTGTTTGAGGGTCTCGGCCGGTCTGGCCGGAGAAACTCAGTAAACCTGTTTGTTATCGTTCATTCGTTTACATTTGTTCTACTCATGACCACATTCCCCTGTACTGAACAGTTCAAGACTTGTAGGATGGTGGAGTCGTAAGGAAGTATCAGCTTCTAAAGGAAAAGAAAGGATACTGTAGCTAATGGGTAGCTGCATCTCCTTTCTATAGGTATTTTTAAGAACTATTTTATATTTAAACATTTAAGCGCAAGGAAACAACCTGAGTTTCAGTAGGGGAGCACCACAGAACAAACTGTTAAAAAAAAGTGAAGTAAGCGACATGTACATAGTTTCAGTTCTTCAAAGCTATAATACAGTCATCCATTGAAATCGGACACGAAAAGCTCGCGAATCGAATAACGCTTGATTTTCCGCTGTTCTTTGAAGCGTGCTATATCCTTCCGTGTAATCACTCCTCGAACCTAAAATTATTGATATTACAGTTCTGTAAAGTCATTCAGCTCACAGAAATTCAGCAGACGGTCTGACCACTCTAGTGGTCAAAACCCTTCTGTCGAAAGTAAGTGTAGGGTGCAGCATGAAAAAATACGGGAACGTTGTGCTTACATTGTTCTCGTCATCTGTAACAATTAAGTATCGTAGTCCGAGGCCCCGGAACAACGTAAAGATTGATTGGAGCGAGGTGTTTAACGGTACTCTGTGGGGGTGGGGATGTAAATATCTTCTAAGATCTACCCAACAGTTTTCTTCATCTGTTGCTATCCGTACCTTCTCTAGCCAGCGGTCGTATCTAATTTCATCAGTTTGATTCTAGTATATTTCATGGTAAGAAATTTGATAGGTAATTAACCAATTTCGAAAAT